GCGATCGGCGAGCCGCGCACCAGAGGTCACGCTGGCTCAGGGTTGCACCTGCGGGTAGTCGAGGGAGGAGGCGTGGTATTCGTTGTTGCCGTAGGCGACGACGGGCTGGGATCTCAGGTGAACTAGCACGCGGGCAGGATATAACGTGGCACGAGGGAGGACAAGGATGGGGGTGGGAGGAGGGGGCAGGGAAATTGCAGGCGAGGGAAGGGGGAGGGGAAATGAGGGGGATGAGGAGGGAGAGGATGGGAAGGAGGAGGAGGAGGAGGCAGAGGAGGAGGAGGAGGAGGAGGAGGAGGAGGAGGAGGCAGGAGGATGAGGGAAGAAAGCGGAGGATGGGAATGAGCAGGATGAGGAGGAGGAGGAGGAGGAGGAGGGGGATGAGCAGGAGAAGGAGGAGGAGAAGGAAGCGGAGGATGAGAAGGAACAAGATAATGAGGAGAAGGGCAAGTAGCAGAAGAAGGAGGGGGGGACTCCTGCCACTCCGCCCCGCCCTCCCTGTTCTCTGCGTATCCCACCGCCTCCCTCCCCGCTGCCCTGCATCCACTGCCGTATTTATATTCCCTTTTCGGGCTCTTCCTCTTCCTCCTCCTCCTCCTCCTCCTCCTCTGCCTCCCTCCTCCTCCTCCTCCCTCCTCCTCCTCCTCCTCCTCCTCTGCTGCCTCTCCTCCTCCTCCTCCTCCTCCTCCTCTCCTCCTCCTCCTCTCCTCCTCTTTTCTGCCTCTCCTCTCCTCTCGTTGGCCCTCGAGCGCCCCGCCCCCCTCGTCGCTCCGCGCGGCCCCCCCCCCCCCCCCCTCGGCGGAGGAGTGGGCGCAGCTCGTGGCCATGCTCAAGGCCGCCCCGGGCAACAGCCTGACCATCTCCGAGGCCCACCTCCCGCCCGCGGGCCCCGAGCGGGCCTCCGTCTCGCAGCGAGCGGAGCACTCGTGCCTCGCCGTCGCTGGCGCTCGTTTTCGTGCGTTTGTCTGCTGTCGTCGTGTCGTGTCGTCTTCTTCCGGCCTTCCCAGTGCTCCTTCCCTTGGCCGCCTTGTGTGGAGCGCGGTGCGCGCGCTTCGCGCGGTGCCACCGTTGTGCTCGGCCCCCCCCATCTCTTTTCTCCTCCTCAAGCACGCGTCTAGGCCTCCCAGACGGGTCCGAGCAGATGGGGTCGGACCATCGCGCCCTCTCGCCGATGCAGTGGCGATGCGGTTCGATATGGGCGCTGGTTTTCTCCACGCTGACGTCGCCGATACATCGCCGACGTCGCCGATGCATCGGCGATGCATCGGCGATGCGGCGCGATCCTCCGACCCCATCTGCCCGACTCCCTTTGGGAGGCCTCTGCAAAAGCCTGTGGAAGATAAGGTCCCCCTCAACCACCTGCCCAGATCTCCAGGATATGCTTTCGTTTCAATCCTTGCGTTTTACGTCGATCTCGGCCTTCGGTGCTTGGCGCCTTCAAATCTGGGCCCGGGGCGAAAAGCCACCCCCATGTGGAGCGGGTCGGGACCCCTGGGGCCGCGGACCGGAAACATCGCCTCGAAGGGCGTCTGGGTAGTAAGCTGCGCTCCGCGGGCTGGTGGGATATCACGGCCTTGCCTTTGCGTGTCGCGCGCCGCCGCTTCTGGCCCCACTCCTCGGCGCGGCGCGCCACCGACGTCCCCGCGCCTCGGCATCAACGCCCCGAGCTGTGCCAAGCCTCCCGGCTCGCGGCGCGGAGCGACACGCTATGCACTCTCAGGGCACAGCGTGTTGCTGGATCCGCCGCCTCGACGCGCGGAGCAGGAGCTCCGGACCGTAGTCCCAGGATGCAGAAAGCATGAGGTAACTCAGGGCGAGTGAGGCTAAATGTGAGACACAGGTGGAGTGACGGTAGCCCCAGGATGTACCACAGCAGATCGTTGACTTCTCCCCCCCTCCCGCGTCGGAAGGGGCCGGCGGCCCCGACGGCGAGAGCATGCTGGTGTTTCCCTCGGATGGCTTTCCCACACGCAGGCAGCACGCAGTGCGCTTGTTTTCCTCAGGGTTGCCTCTTCGCCGTAGCTGTGCCCGCCTCGGGGAATATGGCTGCCCACGCTGGTACCCTCCACTATTGTTAAATCGGGCCTGTCCCTCTACAGGAGGAAAATTCAAAAGTAGTCAAAACATAGTCTGGGAACGATTTTTCTGCTTTGGAGTATCTTTGGGCTACTACAGATTTTCCGTCCAAATCCGCCTGTAGGGGGACATGCCCGACCTGACACTAGTGCAAAATCGCCCCCCATCCATGCAACCCGATGGCCTTTTGTTCATTCTCATGCGCCTGGCGCCACGGCCAGCCCCGGTCTGCGAAGGCGTCGGGAGGCTTCCTGCCTGGAGGTCGCAAGCGGTGGGGAAGTTTCGGATGGAAAACGCCAGGCCCACCCTGACGACATGTCTGGCAGGGTACCACGAAGAAGGGTGCCACATTAGGGGGAGGAGGAGAGGGTGAGGCGAGGAGAGGGGGAGGTGAGGAGAGGACGACGACGACGACGACGACGACGACGACGACGACGACGACGACGACGACGACGACGACGACGACGACCGCGACGGCGACGGCGAGGGCGACGACGACGACGACGACGAGCGTCTGGGGCCCGTGCGCAGCTGCAGCAGATGGCGGACATGCCGCTGCTGGCGCAGGTGCAGGACCTGCCCCGGCCCCCTGGCGCCAGGAGGAAGGAGGGAGGGAGGGATGGGAGGGCGGGGGAAGGGGCGGTGAGGAAGCGTAAGCATGCCGTTGTGCGGTAGCAGCAGGGGGTGGGGTGCGATCCTTTCTTGTGTGCGGGGAAGACGGGGCTTGCTTCGGCAGAGCCGATGTCCTAAGCTCGAGCAAGCGCAAAGTTGTCAACGTTCGTGGATGAATCACGGGTCCCGCTTCCGTGGGTTGGTCGTCGCGCGCCATCGCCACATGGGGCGGCTCTGGCCCCCTGTTCGGGTGGATGCTTTGCCCGATCCGTGGATCTCGCGCCCCCGCGCCAGATCCACGGATTTTCAATCAGCGTCAGCGTGTGCCCGAGACAAGGGAGGGGGGCGAGTGAGGTTCGGGGCGATGGAGGATCCCTCTTGTTGCCGCTCTCTGGCATCGTTGGTCCTCGGGGGTGGAGGCATCCGGACCTTGGGGCCCGCTGGGGAGGGGAATCGGGCAGTGCCGGTGGGGGGGTCACCACGAGGAGGGCCACCAGCGCCGCCTGGAAGTTGAGGATCGTGGGGGGAGGGAGGGCCGAGGATCGAGGAGTTGTTGGACGTCTTCGGGGGTCCAGGGGGTTCTCTGGGGGCCCAGGGAGGTTATCCTTCCTGGAGGAGGTGGCGAAGCCTGGGGGAAGGAGGTCTATCCCTCCTTCCCCCAGGCTTCACCACCTCCAAGAAGGGGGCGGCGGAGTGGGAGGAGGGAGGGAGGGGAGGGAGGAGGGCTCCCAAGACGCTGCAGCTCCTGAAAGCCCACCGACCGAATCCTGCCCCTGTCCTCCCCCCTCCTCCTCCATCCCTCCTTGCACCTGGCCTGTTCAGGTCGCGAACTTATTCTTTGGGTTGCCCCACAATCTGCCCACAAAGCGAAGGTCAAGAGGTCCTCCATTCCCCGTTCCCCCCTCTTTCATTCTCGAGGGGGAGGATCGCCTCCCTTCTCTCTCAACCTACTCCCCCTCGCCCTCCTCCCCTGCATTTCCCGCCCGCTGACAGCGACGATCCTGAGATTGTCTCAGCCACGGAGTGCACTGATGCAGGAGGGTAACGAACTCCAGACCAGCTCGTGGTCCCGAGCTGTTGTTTGACGATCCCTCGAGCACGTGATGGAGGGGCCCAGAGGGGCGAAAACATGGAAGCACTTCCATCGACAAAGAAACTGCTGAAACATAGAATTTCGCAAGTCCCCGTACTTACATATATATATATATACATATATATAATTGATTATATATGTATGTATATATATATATATATATCAGCCGGCCGCTCTGCGGTTGATCGGGAGTTTTTGTATGTAGAAGAGGGGGTGTGCGTTTCTGGGCGAGAGGAGAATGAGCGTGAGGATCAGGAGGGCGAGGCTCGCGTGGGGGAGGATCAGGAGTCAGGGTCGCGCGGGTGAGGATCATGCGAGCGTGGAGCAGGAAGGCGAGGGGCCCGACCCCCTCGCGCGCCTTGCGAGGGTGTCTCGAGCGAGAGCCCTGCTGGGACGCCCAGCGCGCCCCGGCGCGCGCTCCAGAAATGGTCCCTGGGTTTGCGGTGGGGCCTGACCTCCTCGCGCGCCGGGGGTCGACTTTGCGACGATGTCTCGAGCGTGAGCCCTGCTGGGACACTCCCAGCGCGCCCCGGCGCGCGCCCCGGAAATGGTCCCTGCAGGGTGCGGTGGGGCGGGCCTGACCTCCTCCCGCGCCGGGGGTCGACTTTGCGACGATGTCTCGAGCTATGTAGAGCCCTGCAAGGGACACGCCCGTCGCGCGCCGGGGGTCGACTTTGCGAGCACGTCTCGGGCGAGAGCCCTGCTGGGACGCCCGGCGCCCGCCGCGCCCTGGAAATGGCCCCCTGGGGCGCGGTGGGGCCGAACCTCCCCGCGCGCCGGGGGGATACTTTGCGGGGATGTCTCGAGCTATATAGAGCCCTGCTGGGACATCGCCTGGCGCGCGCCCCGGAAATGGTCCGTTGGGGGCGCGGTGGGGCCTGCCTCCCTCGCGCGCCAGGGGGATGGGGACGACCGTTATCCCCACCCCTGGCGCGCCACAGAGAGTCATTCGACTTGATTGAGACTGAGGCCCACCCAAGGAGCGAGCCCCTCTCTAATAGAAGTGCCTGTCTGTGGGCACAGTCCCCGACGTGAGCTCCACAGTAACTCGTCCAAAGTTTTTTCAACAAGATCGGAAGTCCGCAGGGATTCCTGGACCGGCGCTGGCACCCCCGCCCGAGGGCGCCGCGGGCGCCACACCCGGCGCGCTCTGCGCTCCCGGGAGGGCGGCCTTGCACCGATTTTTCAAGATGCCCACGCGGGCCTCCGAGGTTTTATGCCTCCTCCGTTGCTATGTCTTGTTGTTTGTTCTTCTTCCATTGCACACCACTTCCGTTTTGTTTCGCCTTCTTAGTGCTGTATTCCACGGCATCCTCCCCATGCCACAATCGTCACAGTCAGGAGCCTCTGCTGAGCGCGTCGCGCCGCCAGTTCCGGCCCAGCACGGCGCTTCGCGACAAGGTGACCACGCCCCGGTCCCCAAGTTTCCGGGGCGTATCCCAGCCTCCAGGCCCCGGGAGCCACGAGATACGCTGTCCGCCTGCAGGGCATGGTGTATTGCCACCGCAGTGTTGCCCGGGCAGCCGCGACTCGATGAGCAGCGATGCCGGGCCGTGTGCTTAGCACATGGTGGCACGACGACTGCACGAGGCAGGCGCCCTGCACGCCCAGCTCGCACCTTGGAGAGCGCGCGGCTGGGGCCCGCTGCCGTCCTGATCCAAGCGCGCGAGTCCTACTCGGCTGGCGGTTCGGGGAGTCGTAGAGGAGGCTAGATACTACATCACGGAAGCTCCCCCTCGTCTTGGATTGAGCGCGCATCGGCGAGCAGCGCTCAATCGCGCCTCATAGCACCTCGTAGCGCCCAGTTGCGCCGAAGTGCGCTCAAACAGCGCCCACAAGCAACCAGTGGCGCCCAAGAGCGCCATGCGAGGGAGAAGCATTCTGTATGGGGTCCACCAGGAGCTCCCGTGAGCTGTCTTCCAAGACGGGAGCGAGCGGAGCGGCCCCCGCCGGGCCAGCTCCTCCGGCCGACGCGAGCCGCCGCGGCGGCCGCCGCGCCGCTCTGGCCGTCGCGGTCGCCGTCCGCTGCGGGGCCCGACGCGGAGCACCTATATGACATCGCGAGAGGTCACGACCGAGGGCCTGCCTTGATTCGGTATCGTTTTTTTCCGATCCCCCTCCCCATCCATTCCCTTCGAGACCCCCTCCAAATTACCACCCCAAGGCAACGGCCTACATCCCTCGAAGGCAACGGCCTACATCCCCATCTCGGGGGGTAAATCGGCCAGTGGGGCCCAGGCCACGCCGCTGGGGATGGGGATCGGTTAAACGATCCTCATTGTTCGGCCTCCGGGGGGCGTTCTCGGGCCCCGGCGCCGTTAAAAATGGAGCCGGGGCGGAAATTTTGTTATTAGATGGTCTGGGGGCCCTGCTTGAGCGGATTTGCTCTCCTCATCCGTCCTACTCGCGGATTTGCTGGGGCCCGAGCCAGTTCAGACCCCCCGGCCGCCTGCAGATCGCATGCTTCTGCGGCGTTTTCGTTGGCGAGAAGCATATCCGTATCCGCGGCCTATATCGCAGACCAGGCCCCTGGGCCGCGACCCCGCGGAGACAGGGCGCTTCTTCGCAGAAGCCCCGCGCTAACGGTATCCGTGCGCTCGCGTATCGGCGGGCTCGTGGCCCGCAATCCAGACCGCGAGGGCGCGGATGCGGACATTCTAGGCTTCCTAGATCGGGTTGGAGTAGATGGGGTCGGAGGATCGCGCCGCATCGACGATGCATCGGCGATGCGGCTCGATGTGGAGCCCGATTCTCTCTCCACGCCGACGGCGCCGATGTGTCGCCGATGCATCGCTGGTGCATCGCCGTTATATCGCCGATGCATCGCCGATGTATCGGCGATGCGGCGCGATCCTCCGACCCCATCCACTCCGACCCCATCCAGGAGGCCTCTCGACATGCTCTCCGCTCGTGAACCCCGTCGTTCTGCGACATGTTGCGAGCCGGATCGATCTGTGAGGGCCGCCCAGGAACCCGCAGAGCCGGCGGGAGCGCCAGGCACAGGGCTGCAGCGCGCCAGGGGCTGCACAGGCCCGCCTGCCCTGTGGGCGGGGCTCGCTCCGGGGACCCCCGACGCCCCGATGCTTTCGGGCCCCAGCAGACGGGGTCAATGCAAACGGAGGTCAGTCAGAGCGCCGGAGCTCGTAGGATCCTGCAGGGCCGGCGTTGCGCTGACCTGGGCCTGAGCGCAGGATTTTGCAGGATCCTGACTGGCCCGGGTCTGGAGTGGCCCGGGTCCGAAGATCCCCGATTCTTTAAGGACGTGGGCACCCGGACGTCTCGACCCCTCCCCATGGACCAGTTCCTCATCCCGGGTCGTTGTTATGACGGCCCCCGGGGCGCGGCAAGGGCCACCCTGGAGGCCCGAGACCTGCAGCGACCTGCCATGAGATCCGACGCTGCGACAAAAGCGCAGCATTGCCAAAAATCGCGACCAGAGCCCCAGACCCTTTCTCCATCCTCTTTCGATCCGGGTCGATCTGGAAGGGCCCTGCGGGGCCCGACAACCGGGCGCAAAAAAACCCTGCGCGAAAACAAGTGGCAACCACGCCAAGAACCCCCAGGGTCCCGTCGTGACTTTGCCGCGGCTCGCTGGGGGGGGGGGGAGTGGGGGGCGCGCCTGCGCGGCACGCCGCAGCGCCGCCGCGCGGCCCGCTATGGCGCAGGACGGCGCGGCCTTCTGCGAGATGTTGGGCAAGGTGCCGAGCAGGGACGTGCGGGTCCCCGCGCCGCGCGCGGGGTGGGTCTCGGCACCGCGCGTGGCGAGCCGTCCTCCTCGCCTGATGTCGGGCCTGTCCCCCTACAGGGGGACTTTCGACGAAAAATGAAAGATACTCCAAGAATACCCCAAAAAGGTAAAAACATACTCAAGAAATAGTCCCCGGACTGTTGTTGGAGTATCTTTTAATTATGTTTGGGGTATTTCTAAAATTTGTTGTCGAAAATCCCCCTGTAGGGGGACAGGCCCGACTTAATCCTCGCCCTCGACGTCCTCGCTGTCGCCGGCGCCCCGTCCCTCCGAGGAGCCAGAGGTCATGATAAGGACACGGTGCAGGATTGCCGGGAGTTCCCGGGATGTCCTCATGTTCTACAGGTCAGGAGGGAAAGAAGGACGTACACGCACGTGGATCCGCGCTGTTTTCGAGATTTCGCATTGCGCGAAGACTCGTATCACGCGGCCGGTCTCGGGGTTCAAGGGGCCGTGTTCATGTACATAGCTGGGCGCGTACGCCCTCCGTGGGCTCCCTGGCAGGGGCTGCAGAGACGAGGGCTGCCGGATGCTCTGGGACCTCCGGGAACGTATTACTAGAGCCAGTCCTGTCATGACATCATGCCCGTCCCACTTCCGCCCGTCGACGCCCGTCGCAACCCTGAGGTTCAGGCCTTGCAGTTGTTGTTTCGCACCGCGGGCGACTTCGCCGGGAGTCGGGCCCCAGCACCCTGACAGGTCGATTCGACTCGAAGCATGCCTTAGAAAGCTGGGGCCCCAGGGCTCCGCTCGAGTGCTTTTGCGATGTTCCGCGCCGCTCCCGCAATCGGGATGGAATCAGGAGGGAAGGAAACGCACAGATACCATTAATCGGCGATTCCCCAGAAAATATCGGAAAATATGGGAAAGTGGGGGGAAGACAAAAACCGAGAAGATATGGGAAGATATAGGGGATATTTTTACCTGTGTGTATCTATTTGTGTGTCCCAGTTCCCCTTCATGGAAGTCTTCCGCCTCTGAGTGCCCCCCCCTGCCTCTTCCGCGGCCGCCCAGGTCTGCCTCGGCCTCTCCTCCTCCTCCTCCTCCTCCTCCTTCTTCCCTTCCTCCTCCTCCTCCTCCTCCTCCTCCTCCTCCTCCTCAGCCTCGGCCATCCGATTTTCAGTAGCCCCGCTCAGCCCGACCGCTGGTGCAGCAGCTCTGCCTCGGCGCTGCAGCACAAAGCAGCAGTGCTTTTTACGACGTTGTCCGCCGACGCCCGCCGTCCGTCCTCATCCGCCCTCGCGTCCGCCCTCGCGTCCGGCAGAGGAGGGCGGGTCGAGACAGCCACGGCATGTGGCCTTCGGGGGGGGGGAGTCCCCTCGTCGCCACGGCTGGGCGCGGCCCGGATGCCAGGGTGCGCTGTTGATGCCCGAGGAGGGGGTGCGGGACCGATTCCGACTTGCTGCGGTCTCGGCCCTCCCTGCTGCGGTCGTTGGCACTCGTCCTCCATCAGAGGAGCATGGCAGCATGGCGTGATGATGATGATGCTGCTGATGATGGTGATGATGACGAGGAGGAGGGTGAAGATGCTGATGCTGATGATGAGTATGATGATGCTGATACTGATCATGCAACTGATGAGGACAGTGATGATGATGACGACGATGATGATGGTGATGATGATGATGCTGATGATGATGATGAAGACGATGACGATGATGATGATGATGATGATGATGGTGATGATGATGAGGAATGATGGTGATGAGGACGAAGATGATGATGATGATGCTGGTGCTGCTAATGATAATGACGATGACGACGATGATGATGACGATGACGATGATGATGCTGCTGCTGATGATGATGATGATGATGATGATGATCATGATGCTGATGCTGATGATGTTGCTGCTGCTGATGATGATGATGATGATGATGATGATGATGATGATGATGATGATGATGATAATGATGATGATGAAGAGAGGATGATGATGATGATGATGAGGAGGAGGAGGAGGAGGAGGAGGAGGAGGAGGAGGAGGAGGAGGAGGAGGAGGAGGAGGAGGACGAGGACGAGGACGAGGACGAGGACGAGGACGAGGACGAGGACGAGGACGAGGACGAGGAGGATGAGGATGAGGAGGAGGAGGAGGAGGATAATGAGTTCTAAGGCGTCAAGGGTTCCCTGTCATCTCGCGCTGGCAGCGGCGAATGGGCGAGTACGAAATGCCGAGGGGGCGCCAGAACTGGCCTGGAAATCCCAGAAGGTATCCTGCAGTCAGTACGGTCATGAAAAGACCACATTGGGCCCAGGAGGGGCGCTGGTCTTCGAGCCGCCCCTTACATCTGGGTCGTAGAACCTATTCGTGGCCGAGCCACTTCGTTCCTAATTCAGCGTTCCTCATGGCAGCACGATGGCTGTCCTCCCCCCCCTCTCTCGCCGCCTCCGCCGCTCTCCTTGTCGCCCCACCTCTCGTCGCTCTTCCTCCTGGGGGGGAGGAGCCGGCAGGTAGGACGCAGGGCGGGGGGGTGGGAGAAGAATAGAAGCCCGTGTCGTCGCCCTCCTTCCTGGGTGGAAGCAGCGGGCGGGATGCAGGGGGGAGGGAGGGGGAGGAGGAGGGAGGAGGGAGGTGCAGGGAGGAGATGGAGGGGGAGGAGGGGGGAAGGAGGGGGATGAGGGAGAGGAGGAGGGGGAAGGGAATGAGGAGCGAGCATGGGGAGGAGGAGTCGGAATGAGGAGGAGGAGGGAAATGGCCTGGGTGCACTGCGGTTCCCCTCGGTTTGGCGCCTGGCGCTGGGTCGAGCGCTATGCGGACGGCAGGCATCGAGCAGTTTGAAGCGCGTCTTCCATCAGGCTCCAGATAATAAACTACTTGCCAGGTTCGAGAGAAAACTGTGGGAAAAGCACACACACACACTGTGTGTGTTTGTGTTTTGCATGTTTCCCCCACTTTGTGTGTGTGTGTGTGTGTGTGTGTGTTTCCCTCCCCCTGTTTTTTTGTGTTCCCTCCCCCCTCCGCGCAAGTAGACGTGCCAGGCTCTGAAGGAACAGCAGCCTCTCGTTGGGGTAGCGGCCACTGGGCGGCCTGGGCAGCCCCTCCGGGTGTGCCGCCCCGCGCTCTGCCAAAGGTTTTGTGCCGGATATCTTCGACGGTCTGGTCGGACCGAGGTATAAGATCGAGGTCGGTTCGGAGAGGGTCCCCTCATGTTCTTCCGGCTTGTTGGGTGTTCTTGTGCACCCTGGGGAGGGTACCCTTGGATGTTCGGTGTGTTTTGGCCGGCGGAGGGTCTCCTGTTTTCACTTGATTTTATTGTGACTTAGGTCCGACTGCATGATATGTTGTTTCACCGTGGTGGTTTGTTTTGATGGTGGTAATGATGATAATGATGATGATGGTACTGACGATGGTGATGATGATAGTGGTGGCGGTGATGATGATGCTGATGATGCTGGTGATGCTGGTGGTGATGATAATCACGATGATGACAATGATGGCGGCGACGGCGATGATGATGGTAATGACGATGATGATGATGTTGATGATGACGACGACGACGATGACGATGACGACGACGATGACGATGATGGTAACGTCATCGTCATCGTCATCGTTACCTTCGTGGTCGTCATCATGATCGTCATCGTCCTGGTCATCGTGCTCATTTCGGCTTCTGGGTCCTGTTCTCGAGCCCCAGGGCCACCAACAATGGATATCTGCGACGGAACGGTACCCCCCCGGGGAAAGCTTCATCCAGTATGTTTTTCCCATCTGCGGCCCCAGAGGCCCTGCCGACCCCAGCCAGGGTCGCGTGCTGGCTTTGGTTGTATTGGTCCTGGAGCCCGATGGCGTGCCCCCGAGGCCGAAACCGAAGAGAAACCCGCCGGATTGAAAGTATCATACCCCCAGAGATCCGGCTCTGGAGCTGCCTCACAGCAAGCAGGGAATGTAGGATACACACACAAGGGGGGGAACTTGCTGAGCCCGCAGCCGGCCGCGCGTAGGTGAGATGGCTGGCGCCGCCCCCTCGGGAAGGAGATCAGAGGAACAGGAGGCCCAAGAGGTTGGCACTAAGCGTCGTGGAAATCCCACGACGGGGGATGTTTGGACGTTGTCGGCCTCTGGGGGCCCTCGCCGGCTCCCCAGGGCCGTGCAAAAAAATCTCAGGAGGGACCGTGGCCAAACATCTCGCGACCAAACGCAGGTCCCAGGGAAGGGATCCAGACCTGAGGGGGTCGACCTTGTGAACAACATCGTGATGTCGGGGGTCTGGGTGTCGGAGGTTGCCTCCGCCGAGGGAAGATGTTCCTGATCTCGGTGATGCTGGTGGTATTCGGGCCTCGTGGGTGGCCAATGCATTTGCCAGCAGGGGCCAGGATCGGCTTCATCGGGTGGAGTCGTTCCCTTGCGTTGAAGGGGTCAAATCCACGCCGACCCCAATGTTTGGCGTTTACTACAGAGACCCCCCGGGGCGTTTACGAAACAGAAATTCCTTGTCCGATTCCTTTCTTGGGTGCGCTTGCCATACAGCGATTTGCGTGTCAGAGTGTTTGTTATGAGGGGAGGGCGGGTCTTCTGCTCTCCATTGGTTCTGGTGTCAGTTCCAGACCACCAAGATCTGGGCTTCCTAGATAGGGTCGGAGGATCGCGCCGCATTGCCGATGCACAGCCGACACGGCTCGATGTGGAGCCCGATCTTCTCCGCGCAGGCGTCGCCGATGCACGGGCGCCGTCGCCGATGCGTCGGCGATGCGGCGCCATCCTCCGACCCCAGCTGCTCGGGCCCCACCTACACCGACCCCACCCCGTACCGCATCCAGGAACGCAACAAGCTCGCTCTTCATGTCCAGCCAACGTCTAAACGATGCCACCGCTGCTGCTGCCCGCCACTCCCTCGCACGATCTTGATCCGCCGCGGACGCCTGGCCAGAGGAGACCGCATGGCCGGAGGAGACCGCCAGGAGAGCTCCGCCTCACCGGCTCGGGGCCAACTCCGCGGCGGTCCGCGGGGTGCCCAGGGTGGCCA